GGTTAGCTCATAGTTTTTGGGCGAAAATTGCACTTTCATAACATCTTCTTCTTTTCTATGCTGCAATCAGCTGTCCATTCCAGAGGCTGCAAGTGGTTTTTGGCGAAGGCACCTTCTCAATTACTTTCATGGACAGCTTCAGAATGTACCTTACACTAACAGCTGGAAACCTACTTTTTCCAATCCTCGCACAAACTTTTCCCTCCCCACGAGTATCCACTATAGAGGGTTGCCGGGGTGCATAGATGCATTCACTTGTCGTCACACGCCCAATCGAAAGGTGGACTTACCTTGCCCTTGTGAATCCTCAAACTGTCGGGCGTTTCGGCTATTTATCAGTTTTTCCTGAAAGTAAATGTGAAAGTGTAAGTGCAAAAGTGAGCACTAAAGTGAAGGTCATGTGGCATTTGAATCTCCCCACCGTTGCCCAAATGATGGTCAAGTAGACGGTCTTCTTGCCCAAGGAAATAATGGATGCAAGTGATCAGCAGAAGCTTCTTCACCTCGACTATATATTCCTGCGCTTCTTGTTAGGCAAGAGTTTGTAAGCTGAACGCGTGATGGAGGAGAAAAAAAAATTACTTTTGCTTGCGATCCTAATCTCTACACCAACGAATGTTGCCTGTCTTAAGATGGTAAGAGGTTATGGCACAAGTACAATAAAAACAGTGACTACTTGCCACAGGTTGCCCTTGGTACCGATGCCGGTCCAAGGCAGAAGAGAAGGATGCTATGACTATGCTAATAAGTGGGCTTAAAACGTGTCCGCTTGTTCACTTCAATGTCATACATTACGACGAGTAGTCGGTCGAAGCCATATTCACAAGACAGTCGGGATTATTATTCTGCCAATCGGGCGTAGTAAATGCTAATTCTTCCATCACAAGTGTACGTAACTGTCATTGTTTGTGTGTCAGCATTATCGGAAATCGCGCACTACTCATGGGATTGGTGACGCTCATTTGGGCTCAGATGATCGGGCTTCTTCTACAGGAGGGAGTAGGTCCCGACCGATCGGCTTCAGATTGAAGGTATGAAAGCAGGATGGGGTGGTGTTGTGTATGGTCGCGGACTCCTTTCGTTGTAGACAAGTTGTCTGACCCTGTTTTCGCAAATTAGAGGATGGCGCTTTTTCAAGAGTCGACAGAATGCATGATCATGTCCAGAGTCGGATCATGGACTTGGCGCATTCACAGACATCTCGACGGCATCGTCTCAACACAACTGTTAGCTTCGACTCGTCAAAGAGACACGTGAAGTCAATCCTCGTCTTATCACGACTTCTCACATGTTTCTATTCCACAAGACATGTACCCTGCTTGCTTTGCTCCGCTCTTTTTAGAGTGACTGATCCGAATCAAGCCTCGTGTCCGGATCCGCCTCATGGGCATGTAGGTCGGTTTCGCATCTTTCTGGTGGGCCGATTTCACTCGGCTCCAGACTCAGTTTCTCGCGCCTTCAGCAGCCTCATCTGCTTGCTCAAACCAGTCTACTTTGAGCCAACTGTCGACATCCATCTCCGGTCCACGGCTGCATCTCGAGTGTATTATTGGTCCATTTGTTCTTAATGCCCAATTTCTGTGACCCTCGCCCTAGTCACGTGAGAAGTCAGGATTCCAAAGATTTAGCGAAGATATGAGGACCAAGATAGTGTGGCCTCCGGTATGGTCGCAGCCCCTTTCGATTTATAGAAATGGGTTGACCTCGTTGTCGCAACTTGGTCTTGTTGTCAGGGCGACTTAGTAGAACGCGCCTAGTCCGAAGTCGTCTGCCATAGTAGCTGTCATGACTCCCAGCATTAGACAGGAGACTTGGTACATTCTCAAACGGTTAGTCTTGCCATTCTCCGCACCAAGCGGCGAACTCGTCAAAGAGACAAGTCATATCAATACCTCGGAAACGGTTAGACTATCACTCCTCCTTCTGTCCTGGTCTATCTATACACTCTTTACATTCTTGGCATGCTTGGTGCCGAGAGTGGCAGCACTCACTGATGATGCCGACTACGATGCCGGCGAAACGTCTGAGAAGGTACCAACTCCACTGTCTGATGCTGGAAATTATGATGACTACGTCGGACAAGGTGCATTCTATTCAGTCGCCCTGACTACAAGACCAAATTGCCATAACGAGGTTAACCCATTCTTCAAAGCCTTCCTTGTTTATTCGAGCCGACTACACCCACCGAGAACGTCTTCGCTTCATCTCCGAAGCCTCCTCACCCTCATCTTCTCTGCGATCGCCTTTCCTCTGGTTTACGATAGACCCTTGATCCGGACGTCTCCTTTCTGCTTTATTTTTAGCATTTAAGTATTGTTTCGAGACTTCCAGTAATTCAGTAATATGAGATGTATTCACACAATTTCGTTTAAGCTGATGAAGAACTGGTAAAATAATTTTCCCACAATGATATGAGCAGAGCTGACGTTTCCATTCGATTT